ACTTGAAATCCTCTAAGTCTTTGTGGTGCCTATAGAACAGAAGGCCTTGCGCTGGCCTCCAAGGGCCGCTGGAACTGGCCCTTGCCTCCTTCCCCAGCCCGGTCTCCCTCCGCCCTTTCCTCCCACACTATGTGCCAGCCACTGTGACCTCCTTGCTCTTTCCAGACTATGTCAAGCGTATTCCCACTTGCGTGCTATTTTCTCTGCCTGCAACTGGCTTCTCCCAGAAATCTGTATGGTCGCTGCTTTACACGGTTCAAGATTCAGCCCTGAAGTCACTTCCTCAGAGAGCTTCTCTGACCACTTGTTTTAAATAGCTTCTCCAGCCTTCCAGTTGCTCTCTATCCCCTTAACCTGATTTATTTTTCTCTCAGCACTTAACCACCTTGTGCAAGGCTTTATTACAGATGCTGACTTTCCACTGCAACCTCAAGTCCAAACTCCTTACTGTGGTCTACGAGACCCTGTGACCTGGTTCCTCCCTCCTCTCTGACACCAAACTCCTTACTGTGGTCTACGAGACCCTGTGACCTGGTTCCTCCCTCCTCTCTGACACCATACCCTCTATTCCTGAGGGACAATCTCCTGTTGCAGCCCCACTCCCTGCTTGCTCCCCTCCGGTTTCACTGACTTCCCTATGTTCCTGGAACATGCCAAGCATGCTTCTACCTCAGGATCTTTTTTTCTACCTCAGGATCTTTGCACTTGCTCTGTCATCTCCCTGGAATGTTGTTTCTTCATGTAACTTCTTAATGTGCTGCCTGCTGAAATGTTACTTAATCAGAAACCTTCTGTAAGCATTGTATATAAAATAGCAACCCCTTCATCATTTGGTATCCCCCTTACCTGATCTATTTTTCATAGCATTTATAACTACCTGGTTTGTGTATATATGCATATTTTTTTGCGTATTACTTGTTTCTCATCGTTAGGCTGATAGGAGAGGGACTTTGTTTTGTTTGCTCTTGTCTTTGTCTCAGTTTTGCTCATAACAATGCCAGTTTGAGGAACATTGGGTGCAGAGAAGCACTGGGAATACCAGGAGCCTCAGGGTGGCCCCTGGCAGCTTTGCTGTTTTTCCTTGTCTGTCTCTCTCCCCTGGCTATAAGCCCTATGTGGGCAGTGGCCAAGGGGCAATGCCCAGTGCATAGTGGATGCCTGGGAATAGTTGTAGAATGAATAAATGCCGGAGACCTCTGGTTATTTAAAAAGGATTTTCAAATTTCTAGGAGGAGCTTTCCATGTTCTAAAACCCAAATGCAGAGTAATGGCATAAAGTGGGGGAACGGGGCCCCCGGTTGTCTGTCTGTTAAGCATCCAACTCTTGATTTCTGCTCAGGTCACAATCTCAGGGTCATGAGATGGAGCCCTGCACCGGGCTCTGCACTCATTGCAGAGTCTGCTTGAGATTCTCTCTCTCCCTCTGCCCCTCCCCCCTCACATGTGTGCACATGTGCTCTCTCTCTCTCTCTCTCTCTCTCAAATAAAGAAATAAATCCTGGGGCGCCTGGGTGGCTCAGTCATTCGTTAAGTGTCTGCCTTCGGCTCAGGTCATGATCCCAGGGTCCTGGGATCGAGCCCCGCATCGGGCTCCTTGCTCAGCGGGGAGTCTGCTTTTCCCTCTGCCTCTGCCCCTTCTTCCACTTGTGCTCTCTCTCTTACTCACTCTCTCTCAAATAAATAAATAAAATCTTTAAAAAAAAAAAAAGGCAGAGTAACCCATTAAGCTCTTAAGCCCATGGTCCTGTCAGAACATGAAGGACGCCATGGTGTACAGGGGATGGGATGTGGCACAGGTGGGCTTCTAGGGGCAGAGAGAGGAGAGAGGAACTTCAGAACTGCTAAGACCTGCCCCTCCCTGAGCGGGCTTCCTCATGGTTTGACAGTATCACAGGACCAGACCTTCCATCCAATAATACAGCAGGTGCTCAGACTTTTTTTTACATTATGTGGGATTCTCTTTTTGCCTTTCTACTAAAACTCAAAGGATAGGAATAAGAATAGAAGAGATCATTGAAATCAGCTCAACATAAGGTGAACTTCAAGCAGGCAGCTGTGTCCCAATATGCGCTACCTGGCCTTGTGTTTGGGGGGGCGGGGGAGAAGAGGTTTCTAGAGGCTAAGGCACTTCTCTTTGTCAGGGATGGTATGGAGGTGACTCGATCCTCAAGTAGGGGATGAGGAGTCCTCTTTCAGTGTCCTTGAATGGGCCTTTCCACCTGGAAACACCCGGAGCGTACGCCCATGCTTTCCGTTCAGTCTTGTCCCTTACTTGACCTTCGCTGGAAAGACTTCGTCAGTGTCTGCCAATCCTGCAGCTCATTGGAATGGCATGGGGAAGTTGGAACATCCTGATGCCTAGGCCCCACCTGTGACCAATTACATTAGAATATCTGGGGTAGGATCCAGGTGTCAGTATTTTTTAGATGCTCCCTAGATAATTCTGAAGCACAGCCAGGGTTGACAACCACTGTCAGGCCCATAGCACAGTAGGCTGATTTCCTCCTTCCTTCCCTGTTGTTCATTCTGCTTCTCGGCCGACGGGCTAAATGATCCTGGTGTGTGCACTTAGCCAATTTCCAGGACGGCCACCAGTAATCCCGCCTCCTGGCAGTCCTGCCCCCGTGTCATCCCTGCCCCTTGACTGTGGGCTGGACTTGAACTCAGATCAACCTAACCATGCAGAAGAAAATAGCCAACACAGGAGGGTGGGGAAGGTGAAATGAAAAGCCCAGCATTCGGGTGCTCAAACTGTGGTAACCAGTGACCTCTGCCACATCAGGTTCCCCCCTTCTCTCTCCCTCCATCTCTAGCCTCAACCCAGTGGGGATGGTTCAGGGCCAATGTGCCCCTTGGTGCTCCAAGCATCCTTGAAAGAAGCTTCCTTCAAGGCTTCTGGTTCTGCCCTCCTGCTCCTCCTTTTCATTTTCTCCTTATCTCGGCTCTCTGCTCTGAACTGGGAGCTGGCACCACGGCCTTTCTCTCTCTCTTGGCTAGAGAAAAATCCTCCTCCCCATGTAGAGCCAGGCAGAACAATGCTCTGCACAGGGCAGCCGTAAGAAGCTGCTTATCTAGATCGTTATTACACTCATTAGTGTGGTGTGAGCTCACGCACCAGGGCCAAGGTCTCGATGATGCCCTGGCCTTGGCTATGGGCTGCCCTGGCAGAGCCAGGGTGTGGTCTCTGAGAGGGGAGATCAAACCAAGTCTTCCTGACCCTTGGGAATCTTGGCACTTTGTTAGGGAAATTCGGATGGCCCAGCCCATCGGTTTCTGCTCCCTTAAAATTTCCCCAAACATCAGAGGAGCTCCTGTGGGGACTCTATTCCATGTCCCCAGTTCCCCCCACCTCGGAGGTTCCAGCAGCCCTTTTGTTGGTTTGGCTCTCCACTTAGATCATTGAAGCAATTTCAGGTCCAACTGGGCAACACTCAGCATTTCATTTATGTCTTGGCAAGGTTACCATGTTATTACTTAACTGTGCTGCCGCTATTCAATAAGTGGGAACTGATTGAAATAACCACAGGAGTTGCTGGATTCCCCTAATTTTAGCACAGAGTTAAAGCTCACTCCCACAGTTGGAAGTTAAAATAGGCTCCCAGCCCACAGAAATGCCCACCCACCACACTTAATTGTCACACCACTGATGCCTGTCATGGAAGGAGACGTGGAAGGCTGCAGAACATTCTTAGAAGCAAGGTTCTTTCCTTTGGCAGCTGCCTGAGGTCATTTTGACCAGGCCCAATTTCTTTCAGACCCTCTGCCTGTGCAAATTTGCATGACTGCTTTAGAGAACTCCTGTTTTCTTCCCTGATTTGTTTAACAGACCGTCCAAGTGCAGAGTTCGCAATAGAGCGAGGGGAGAGAACTGAAACTTCTGTTTGAGGGTGCCTCTTTAAATGACTCATTCCTGGAGTCCAGATGTGTGGCGGGCTGCGACCCTGAGCCATCAGGGCAATTTGGAAAGCAGAGTAATGATATCTAATCCAGGCTGATGTGCTTTCTCTTGGTGTCAACAGCCATCAACCACAACCCAAAGGCCTCAACTTGAAGAAAAATTTGGAGTAAACGGCTTCTTGTGTAACTCCCTGCAACCCTGTCCAATTTTTTTGTGTTGTTTTCTTACTATTGAAAAATATATTTTACAAGAATTTTGAAGGAATTCTCTGAGATGCTATTTCTTAGAGCATGCCCACAGCTCAATATTTCTTGTCACTGTGCAATTTTTTCTCTTGCTCCTATTTTAAGTCATAGTCTGCCCTTAATATTTTAGCACAGCAGAGCTGGTCAGACCATCAAGGGTGAAGTAAAGGACTATAATGGGGAGACTTCAGAGGAAGAGAAAGGCTTTATTCGTGACACATTTGCCGAGAGGACCCTGGGCAGCTCCCAGAGTTCTGTGACGTCTTCTTGGCCAGCCTCGGGCACTCGCTTCTCCCCTCCTGTCCGTTGTCACAGCCACTGTGTCTCCTCCTTAGTCTCACAACCCCTCAGCTGGACTGGTGTGGGAGCCTCCTGACACCAGTGTTGGTCATAAGTGTCACATTCATTGTCTTTAAAGATATTTTCCCCCTGCCATTCTCCCTTCTTTTGCCTGTAGGATCAAGTCCAAATCCCTTGGGCTTTCATTGAAGTAAGTGGTTCCTAGAGACATGCTGCCTTCGTGAAAATGTTTTCTCATCAGACGCACCGTTTCCTTAGCACACCTGTTCGGACTTACCTTTTCACTTCAGTCAGCCCGCACTCCACAAATGCCTCTTCTTTCCTCCTCTTGCCCACGTCTCTCAGTCCCATCTGACCTTCCTGTCTGTCCAAGGCTCAGCTCACCTCTGCTCCTCTCTGGAGCCTTTCCTAATGGTTGCCGACATACGGTGGTCTCCCCTCTTCTGGATTTCCCCAAGTACTTTTTGTGCCATTGTCATGCTGATCCTTCTTTTTCTGGCGAGACTCCTTGAGGGTCCTAACCCTTGTGACTATTCGCTAACAGATTCTTACTTCAGAATCAGTATTTTGGGCACTCAAAATGGGTAGGAGAACATGGATCCAAGAAAAGACCAGGGAAGCACAAAGGAATGGACAATTTTATCTACGACATGATGCTTTCAGTGTTAGCTGAGTGCTCTCGAAAATCTTTCAAAATTCCCACTTTGGGAATTGCTGGGTGACAGAGGTCTGCTGCTGGGGTATTGGGGCCACTGGCACATGGAGTTAGACCTTGCCTTTCAGTAACAGATCATGGTAAGAAAGAGACTTGGGCTGGTTCATTTTTTCCCTAAAGCTGCAAGGAAATCAAATCCATGACCATACTTACTTACATTTAGTGAATCAGGCCAAGCTCAGAACTAAATGATGAAAATGAAAATTAATCAGGGACTCCCATGGGTCTCACATATGGCAGTTTTGAATCTTTCTTTTTCCACTATCGTAATTGTTTTTTTACTCATTTTCTTTGGTTGAATACACAACCACAAAAAAAAAACCATGAGGCAGTGGTGGTGATGGAAATGAATACACCCATGGAAACAGTGGAATATCTACAGACATAAGATTAGGAAGGAAGGAAACAAAGGCAATTTCAGCTTCTCTGCGAGGCGTGCACACCTTTCCTTGCCAAGACCTCTCGGTCAGGTTGTGGGACTCGGTGGCAGGTGCTTCCTTGACTCACACAGAAAGCAAGCCGTGGACCCCTGGTGCCACTGAGGTGAGTTATATCTGGCACACAAACACCATGTCCTACTCCTCCTTTGTCTCCTTCCGAGAAGAGATAAAAAGGAACACGTAGGGGGCGCCCGGGTGGCTCAGTCGGTTAAGCGACTGCCTTCGGCTCAGGTCATGATCCTGGAGTCCTGGGATCGAGTCCCGCATCGGGCTTCCTGCTCAGCGGGGAGTCTGCTTCTCCCTCTGACCCTCTTCCCTCTCGTGCTCTCCATCTCTCATTCTCTCTCTCTCAAATAAATAAATAAAATCTAAAAAAAAAAAAAAGGAACAAGTAGTTGAGAAAAGAGTCAGAGAGAAGGCTTGGTGCCTCTTCTTAATTCACGGGGATTTAAAATAACACTTTATGGCATTATAACATAGGGTTATGTCCCCTTTATTGAATTTGTGTGGCAAAACGGAACCACAATAGAAAAGAAGCAATCAAAAAGAATATCATGCCTCAGAACATCATTTTCCTCGGTAGAACATCACCTCTTTAACGCACTGAACCCTTTTCTTTTCACACTAGTTAACAAATAGCATTACCGTGACTCGAGTCAGATTTTGAAAACTTGTCTGGTGCCTTTCATTAAGAGTTGAAAGCTGTGTAGGACTCTTGCTCCAGGAAACTTTGTTTGACATTTTAATCGTATTGCCTCAGCAAGAGCAGAGAACATCCACGAACTTAGATTTGTACAAGGTAAATCACGAATTCCTCCAAAATGGGGTGCCTTCTTCTGAGTGATGGGGTGGTTTTTACATGAAATGTCAATGTAGCTTCTCCACTTGACATAAAAGTCCCAATTAAAGAAAAAAACTAAACTGCTCAGTTGTTTTTTTTTTTTTTTAATCAAGCAATTATTTTTTTAACCTGAAGTGCTTTTTGGAAGAGACTACCAGGAAAGGACTGGAAAGTAGTTATCATGACTGATCAGTTCTAGGAGTTGGGGTAACCAACATTGGCAGGGTGGGACCTCCAAGCCCCAGGGACCTCTTGGATGAATTAGATTCCTTCACTTGTTTGACATGGTCTTCTGGAGGGGACACCATGAGTTAACATGCACCAGAACAGATCAAATGTACTACCAGCTGGTCGTTTACTCTGGTACCGGAAGGCTGCTTTTCTTACATACAATTCTTTGTTGTGCTAAAGAGACATCATGTATAAAAGCCTAAAAGTAAGCCTTGAGTTCTTTATGTCTGGCAAAATTGTCGGTACAATGTGCCTCGAGGATATATCCACCATGTTTGCCTTGCGGGGTCGTTGTGAAAGAATTAGATCGTATGTAAGAGTCACCCCATACATGTTACAGTGTATAAAGGACTGACGTCTCCATTTTCTCAGTTGAACCTCACAACATCAGTGGGAGGCAGGGAAGGCAGATATTATTATCCCTTGAGAGGGGGTGACCCTGCTGCTGCAGCATATGTGCAACTTTTGCTGGAGGAAGACTGTTTATCGGTTGTATTTGCAAGTATTTTATATCGTACAAGGGTGTTTATTGCAGCAGTGTTTATAATAAGGAAAAATTGGAACCTACCTGAATGCTTGTCAATAGAGGCCTGATTAAAGTATAAGAGTGGCCCTACATGGAATACTATGCAGCCATTAGGAATTTTGAGTTAGAGGTTTTAGAAGTAACTTCATTGGTGTTGAAGTATATTTATTTATTTATTAATTTATTTTAAAGATTTTATTTATTTGAGAGAGAGAGAGAGCACAAGGGTTGGTGGGGAGGAGCAGAGGGAGAGGGAGAAGCAGACCCTCCGCTGAGCAGGGAGCCCAGTGTGGGGCTCGCCCAGGACCCTGGGATCATGACTGGAGCTGAAGGCAGGTGCTTAAGCGACTGAGCCACCCAGGTGCCCCTGAAGTATACTTATTTTTTTTTTAAAGATTTTATTTATTTATTCATGAGAGAGAGAGAGAGAGAGAGAGAAGCAGAGGGAGAAGCAGGCTCCCAAGGAGCAGGGAGCCTGATGCGGGACTCGATCCCAGGACCCTGGGATCATGACCTGAGCCGAAGGCAGACGCTTAACCATCTGAGCCACCCAGGTGCCCTGAAGTATACTTATTGAGGAAGAAAATTATTCGTACTATGTTTAAGCCAGTAAAAAAATGCAAGAGGATCCCTTTGTGATAAGGAAAAATGTGTGTGGTAACACAGTGCTTATCTCTGTGTGCTGAGAATATGGGTGGTATTTGTTTTCTTTCTTATTCTCATCCATCATTTCTAAATTTTAATGTTAATGAACATTAACAGTGTACTAGTCAGCATTGTCACTCAGATTAGCTTTTGGAATAATAATTAATGGAACAGGTACAGCGCCACCTCTGGGCTTCGTGGGTAAAGCGACCCTCTCGTGTGTGAGCGTTATCAGCCGTGGTCCTGGCAGGAGCCAGAGTTCAAGCAGATGGTGGAAATGCAAAGCATGAATTATGGCACAGTTTACAGTGGTGTGAAATGGGTAAGGGGAGCAAACAGGGGTGGGAGCACCGTGACACCAGGAACAGGGGGAAGCCACGAGCACCCCTAGGACGGAGGGACAAGAGGAGGAAACAGTTAGTTCCCAGGGTCCAGGGGCCGGTGCTGTGGAGGAGTGATCCCCTCAGCGGAAGCTGGAGTGGCGAAGGGTCATAGCCCTCGTCGGACCCCAGTGAAGCAGGGAGGAAATCCTCTGACCCCTCTTCTGCCTTCTTTCCTGCTGCTGCCTCCCGTTGACCAAGCCCAACAGGAAGCCCGCTGACAAGGGGGTCAAGGAGAACAGTTCACAGAGGTTAGCCTGCTAGTGCACAGAGCAGAGAAGGCAGGAAGTGGGTCTGCCGATGGGGAGTGTGCAGCAACCACAGGGAGCAGAACCCCCGGGGTCAGTCCCCTGGAGAAGAGGCATGTCTCCTCATCAGGAAACTGAAACCGAAAGGAAGAGCCTGTTGGGGCAATAGGAGGTGAGTGATCGGGTTTGTCTGCTGGTGTTCAGAGCTTCAGAAACATGGGGATGGGATCACAGGTCACCTGGCCCAAAGGGAGCACAGAACTTCCTTGTGGACTGTTACACAGAGAGAGTTGTGCCTTCCTCCCTGTTGCCTGGGGAGTGGGGGGGGGGGGGGGGGGGGGGGGCGGCGGAGGGGGACTGCCAGGGAAAATTAGACCCACGACACCCTGGCTCTCCCAGGCTGGTTCCTGCTGTCCCAGCTCTACACCTGTGCCCTCTGACACCTCAGCAGCCAGCAGCCCCAAGTTGCCTCATGTCACAGATCCCATAGGCAGCAGAGGTGGGACTCTGGCCAAGCAGTGGGGTTCCAGGATTATACAAAAGGGCCACTCTTTCCCTCCCTGCTACTTGGAAGCAGAGGGGGTAGAATCCCCTCTTCAGGTCTGAAGAGGAACCACACTCTCAGCCTGCCTAAGATGCAAAACAAGTCCCTCACACTTTGGGATACTCTCCCCATCGTGCAGGTGACAGTCTGCAGAAATCTCACCCACCTTTCAAATTTCACTTCCTCCTGGGTCACTTCCTACAGGTGTGTAGAGCCCCAGCGGTAGGCAACCGGCAGATAGGGACGAGTGCGTAGCTACTTCCCAGTCTCCTATTCCTTGAAATCAGACAGAAGAGAAAGCAGAGTTGTGAGAATTTGGGGAACCAGGTCCACCAGGGGGGTCCTCAGTTTCCCAAATGTGCATGCTGGAGAGCCATGGCAAATGTGTGCTCCAGTTCAGCCGCCTGATCTGGGCTGACGGAGAGGATGGGGGCAGACTCCCTCCTTGCACGGAAGATGTCAAGTGCACTGCCATTATCAGTTTATCCCCTCACCTGAGAAGGGTCAGGAACAGTCACCTGGGAAAGGCCATGAGGAAAAGCCAGCACCAAATGTTGAGGTCACCTGGGCATGATCCCTCCTGCTCTTTAGTTCATTTCTTGGAAACAAGCTTACCTGCATCTCTTTCTTGGCTTCCTCTTAGAGGATTTATAACTAGATTTTTCATCAGTTTCATCTTTCATTTCACAGTGAAATATGATCAGGTACTACCTACAAGAACAGTCTCAAAGCTGTGCCACCAACAAATCAAAAGGCCCTACTTTGCTGCCCCATAGGATGGTTTTCTGGGTAGAGGGGATGTGGCTTCCTTGCGTGGAAGTGCCTTTCAGGTACAGGACTTCATGAGCTACCAGTGCCTTTTGGGAATTAGGAGCAGGCACCCCTTCCTCTGGGCAGATGCACCCGGTTACTAGGACTCTGGTTGGTGAGGGAAGGCCCACCCACTCCCCAGCCAAGCCCCCTGTGCAAGGCACCACCTGCCCAGCCTACCCGAAGGCCAGTGTGATGGGCATTGCATCCACAAACAGAATCTACCATAACCTAAGCAGGAACCTGATATATTATGTTCTCCAAATTTTTTTTCTTACCTAAAAACAAGCAAGCAAGCAAAGAGAAAAGCACCTTGTGTCCATGTGAGTAGAGATTGCTTGAATTACAGCACATGGACATCTCACTTCACAGAAAAATCATGTTTTATGAAGAGATCTGGGTTAGTGTCTTAGCCTGAGTTCTCTCAGAAAGCAAAGCCTGAGAAAGGAGGGTGATGGAGGTGGTTCATTTGGGAAACACAGGCACCAATATAGGGGGAGTAAGAGATGTCAAACAAGATGGAAAGAAAGCCGATCCAATGTACTTGTTGAGCTGGTTCCTGGTGTGGTCAAATGGGCTCCATGCTCCTTGGACCTTTGAGGACCATCCTCTCAAGGAGAGAAAGTAAGGATGGATCATTTCCTGGCTCCTGGCACCAACTGGTCAACGGTTGCCCTTGGGGTGTTAACTCCTCAAACACCATCTAGATATGCACATACATCAGAGTGGTTGGCAGAGACACTGGGTCAGGGAAGGCAAACCCATATCCATTTCCGGTAAGATTGAGTCCGTGCTCTCTCAGAGTAGAAGGCGTCTGATGGAAAAAACCTACCCCCAAGTGACTGACTGGTTTCCTTAAGAAACGTGTGCCAGATGGAGTGTTCCTTGTCAGTCTCTCTGGTGACCAGTACAGCAGTTTCAGTGATTTAGTACAGTGGTTGCTAGACTGGTCTTAGTGAGATGGCACTCATACTGTTGGGGCCATGCGGACCCTCTCTCCCTGCACCACATCCCCTCTGTCATGCAAGTCCTGGAGAGGCTAGGGAGAGAGGCTGGCTGGCATCCTCAAGACATCTTGCACACCTAGTGGTTCGGTGCCACACTTGTAGAGGAGGTGCTCTGGTGTGCCTGGTGTTGAGATGAAGATCCAGGTGCTGTGTGCCCAGTAACAGAGATCCATCTACATGATTTTCTCCACCCTTTCTTATCTTCTTGTCTCCTGACTTCAAGTCTTTGAGGCTTCCAACCCAACCAGCAAGCCATTTGCCACTGCCCCTAGGTCCAGATATACCCATAACTCAGACAGCTTCCCCCGACCCGTGAAGTGAGTAAGCAAGTGAATTGTTCACAGCTCTGATCACTGGGAGGAGTGACCTTCACTATTCTTCAGGGCCGTCCTGAATAGGGTTATAGTATGCTGGTCCAATGACTGTTAGCACTAACTTGTCAAGACAACCCATCCATGAACAAGGTCCAAGTTTTTTTCTCATTTGTCAGCTGTAGGGAACTAACTCTAAGGCCTTAGGTGTGAACTGAGCAAGAGAGGTAGAGAACACAGGAATCTGAGGCAGATGGAACTTCCCTGTGTCCCTCGGATCCCTTCTGGCCCAAGCTCAAACGAACCATTTCCATTGTATAAAGTACTACTGCTGTGCCTGTCTGACTTTAACACAGTCCAGCTCATAATGGGCACAGTCATCTGGCTGCATGGTCACTTGATGTCCCATGGTCAGAAGATCCATCTCTGTCAGGGCTCAGGAGCTGCTTTCCAAATGGTTTTTAGTTTTTTGCTTCAGAAGGAAAGTCTAGTTCTAGAACTCTAGGATCTGTGCTGCAGCTCTTTTTATTGGGCTTGACAGAGACTACATGCACACCACATCTTTATTCACAGTAAATAGCACCAAGAGATCTACTGGTCATAGGGCCTAAGTGGCAAGATCTGCAGATTTTGCTCTGACACTCAAAACTGGCAGCCTTCCAAGTCACCCAATGAATGAATCAGAGCAGTATCCCCGAGAGTGGTATATGTTGCCTCTAATTTCTAAAGATTCTTAGTGGTTTTAAAACAACCTCAAAATTCGTTGATACTCCAGCCATCAAGAAACAAAGTCCACGTCCCCTCAGCTGGAGTCTGGGTAGGGGTTTATTGCCTCCACGAAGAGAAGACAGCCAAAGATACCTTCTGTGACTTCAGAGGCTATGTCATAACAGGCTACGTAGCCTCCCCCTTGTTTACTGGAACACTTGCTCTCCCAACTACCCTGAAGCCGCCATCCTGTGAAGAAATCACAGGTGGAACACAGTTCCATGGTAAGGCCACGTGTGGGTGTTCAAACTGACAGTCCTTACTGAGCCCAGCCTTCAAGTGCCCCAGCCCAGGCATCACAAATATAGGTGAAGATGACTCCCTAAGATTCTAGTCCAGTTTGAGTCAGCGCCAGCTGGTGGAGTTTCCCTAGCTACTGCTCCAGCCAGCCTTTCTCAACTGAGGTTCCTCATTTGAGCCACAGGAGACAGAAAGCGGTTTGAGTCAGTATTTCTTTCCCATTCTCCCAAGTACAGAACATAACTAGTACCATACTAGATGCACAGGAGAGAAATTAGTTCATTATATACAAATGGATGCCTTAGGGCATCAGGGCTTAATTCTACCGTGGAACCCCAATTTAGAAAAGCTGGCGGAAATTGAGAAGTTGAGACAAGACACTCCAAACTTCTGACCCTCAGAATCCGTGAACATAATAACATGGTGGTGGTTGTACCTCACTAGGTTTTGTTGTGGTTTGTTATGCAGCAATAGAAGACTGGAATAAGGTACAAGACCTAACATCTTGTCCTTTACCTCAAAGATGGTGTAGTAGCACACCTCAGATCACCAGACTCCTGAAAATGTCAATGGTGTGGCAGGTTGGGCTCTCTTTGTGGGGTTTAATTTCTCGGACACACAACTTCTGTTTCTCTTTACCAGGTTAAATCTGCATGATGTCATCAGGGTAGTGTCCCACATATTAAGGCAGTTAAGATCCCTGCAGGCTACTTTGCCATTGTATTAGAGGCTTCACATAGCCTTAAGCAAGACTCTGAATGTGTACTGATGTCCTTCCCACTTAAATGAGACCTACTTTTGATCCTGGTTATTGATGATGGGTTGAAAAGAATATGTTCACCAGATCAATAGCAACATACGGAGTGCCAGAGGCTGTGTTGATTTGTTTTAGTAAAGATACCATTTATAGCTCAGCAACTGAGATTGGGGCTACCTCTTGGTTACGTTCATGGTAGTCCACTATCTTCCTTCATGATCTGTTAGTTTATGTTTTCAAGGGCCATAAAGGTGGATTATACATGGATATGATGGAGTATATCCACCCCACATATTTTGGCTTTGATAGTGACCTTAACTGTCTTTCAGGATGCAGTGTTGACTTGGGTTTACTCTCTTGGCTGGTGGGATTGTGGATGGGTAGTTTCACAGGCTTCTACTTGGCTCTTCCTACCTCATGGCTCTAACTCTGTAGGTCAGGGAACCAGGGGAAGGATACTGCCAGCTGCTCTGTTTATCCAAACTATGCACTTGGGGAATGGGGAAATAACTACAAGGTGGCTCTGTGAACATACTGGATCTCCTTTGAGGTGTGCTTGTGCCCGCTCACAATTTCTTTTCACAATTCTACAAGTCAGGTACTATCCTAGTTGGCTGTTCACCTGTCCCATCACTGGGAACCTGCTGGCCTTTTAGCTGCTGCCACAGATGTATGAGGGCCAAAGCATCTTCCAGCCCTTGTGCCCATATAGCAATCACATATACCTTCTACTGTCATTTAAGAAATGCCACCTGACCTCTGACATTCCAGAATTCTATCATTCTTATTGATGCTGAGGAGCTTAGACTTACAGCACCATTTCCTCCTATCAACCCCAGGGTGCAGGGGACAACCACTGTTGGAGTTACCAGGGCTTTTTTCATCACTGCATTTCTTGACCAACTGAGCCACTCAGGCGCCCTTCATCACTGCATTTCTTATTGTTTTAGCCAAAGCAATGTCCTTTGGGAATTCCTGGGAAATATAAACAGATGGGAACTTCTCTGATCTCAGTAATAAATCCACCCCCCCTTGGCCTCTCCTCGATAGTCTGCCAAGTTCATTCTAGCAACTCTGTCTTATTTGCCACAATCCATTGTTATATCCAAGTTTCAAAGAGTCATGCCGGCAATGCATTATGACTGGATCCTGATGTTTTTGCCAGGATGTTAAACCCTCAGTCAAGGAAGAATGCTCCTATATCAATGACTTCTTCCCATTCATCTTTATCTTCAGGCCTCCCAATATTGTCCCACTCTCTCAACATGCACTTCCATGAGTGTTTTTGCTGGTTTCTGCCAATGCCTGTTTGCCAGATCTTGCAACTTCTTTGGTGTACGTACAGTGAGCAGGCATTTTATTTCCTGAATCAGACTGTGCTTAGAGCTGACTGTAGTTATTGGTAATGAGAGGAAGGCAAGGTCATACCTTGAGGAGGACAAGCATCATCTCGTGAAGCACCCACTTCAGATAAGGTCTTGGCAGCATTTCACATAAGGGGAAACTGTTTTACTCTGGAAAGGGAGATATAGTTTTTCTTCTTTGAGTCCAGAGTGGATAACAAGATCTATTTTTTCCCCATCCTTTTATTTGTTCCCTGTTTCCTCTATTTCTGCCCTTCTTTTAGGTTGAGTATTTTTTTTTTATTCTGTTTGATTTCCTTCCTTGTCTTCTAAGCTAGAACTCTTTGTTTTGTTATACTGTACTTCACACATAGCTTAAGAACCTTACAATAATAGGATACATCCATTCGTCCCCTCTAGGGCTTCATGCTATTTTTGTCATATATTTCCTTCATATATATATTACTAATCTCCCTTTACATTATTTTTTGTTGCTGTTTAAACAGCCAATTATCCTTTAGATGGCTTTAGCTAATTTTAAAATGTCTGATATACTTACCCTTTCCAAGAGGTCTTCATTCCTTTGTGTAGATCAGGTATTTTTCCTTCTGTCTGAAGGACTTCCTTTAACATTTCTTGTAGCATGGATCTCCTGGTGACAAGGTCTTTCTTCTTTTGTGTAAAAAGTCTTTATTTTGTCTTCATTTCTGAAAGGTATTTTCACTGGGTATAGAATTCGAGGTTGACAGCTGCTCATCTTTAAAGACATTGCTGTTATTCACTGGCATTGTTTCTGATGAGAAACTGCTGCTATTCTTTGCTGTTGTTCCTCTGTACATAATATGTCATTTTACTATGATTGCTTTTGAGATTTTCTTTTTGTCATTGGTTTGAACAATTTCTTTATCATGTTTGTTGGTTTAGCTTGCTTTACGTTTCCCATGCTTGGGCTTCAATTCTTTTTCCACCCCCCCATCTACTCTCCTTGTAGACCCCAATTACATGGATGTTGGACTGCTTGAAATTGTTCCAAAGGGCAGTGAGTTTCCTTTTCTTATTCTTTTTTCTCTCTGTGTTTAATTAGACAGTGTCTACTGCTATTTATTAAAGTTCTTCAAAGGTTTTTTTCTCACAGTATCCAATCTATAATTCAACCCATTCAGTGTAATTTTTAATCTCAGAAATTGTAGTTTTCATCAGTAGAAGTTCATCTTCTTTTTAGTATCTAAAGGTCTTTTAAATATCTTCCATGTTTATACTTCACTACTTGACTACCTGTAATACAGTTTTGATAATTGTTTGAATGTCCTTGTCTGTTTAAGTCTAACATCTGTGTCAGTTCTGGGTTGGTTTTGATTGGTTGTTATTTGCTCTCATTATTGGTCATATTTTCCTGCTTCCTTGCATAACTGGTAATTTTTTACTGGATGTCATACTTTGTGAATTTTACTTTGCCGGGTTTTGGCTATTTTTGTATTCCTATAAATATTCTTGAGCTTTGTTCTGGGATGCAGTTAAATTGCTTGTAAACAGTTTGCTCCTTTTGGGTCTTGTTTTTAAGATTTGTTAGGTGGAACCAGAACTGTGTTTAGTCTAGGGTGAATTATTTTTCAATCCTGAGAGAAAAACAGAACTTCTGAGTACTCTACCCAATGCCCCATGAATTATGAGGCTTTGCAGTCTGGCTGGTGTGGAAACAGGCACTATTCATGGTCCTGCTCCCTCTAATTTTTCTGGGTGGTAACTTCCTCACTGGCTAGCTTACTCACATGCATTCCTTGATAAATACTCTCCTGAATATCCAAGGGGGGACCCTCTGTAGATGTCTGGTACTCTTATTCTGTGCAGCTCTCCCCGCTCCAGTAGTCTGTTCTGCAAACTCTAGGTGCCTTGGTCTCCAGGAATCATCCCCATCTTCTCTCAGGGAGTCCACTGGACTCCTGTGCCTGGAATTCCCACCCCTGCACAAGGGCCTGAAAAGTCTCTCAAGGCAGCAGGCTTGTGTAGGGGCAATTGTTTACTTCCCATCTCTTGGGAATCACTTGTTTTAGTTGCCTAATATCTGGTGTTTTAAAAACTATTGTTGCACAAATTTGGTTCATCATTCTGGTTGTTCCAGATAGGAGGATAAGTCTCTATTACTACATCTTGGCTGGTAGTGGAGTATCTCTGTCTTTAAAATGGCCAACACTACATTCAACCTTTCATCTGTAGAATATCTGCAAAGATCCTGAGTGCAGAAACCAAGCTGACTTAATCTCTGTAACCCTAGATGACTGACACAGGACTTTGCATATAGGAGGTGCTCGGTAAATGGTTGGCAAATTGAATTGTAGAAGGACAAGCAGGTGAAAATTTCCCAAAGGGATATTTTTTGCCTTATGCAAGAAAGAAATATCTAACTAAGAGTTCAGTAGTGGAAACTTTTAAAGGTGGTAGTGATCTTTCTATTATGGGAAGTGTTCAAGCAGAGTGAGAACTCATTTGCTGGAAATCAGCATTTCTGTATTGTCCAGAGAAAACCTCAATCTCATGCCAGTTTTCCACTAATACTTCTCAACCTTATTATTATCTTTTTTGCCAAATATGAGATATTATGAAAATAATTATTAAGGACTCCTTCTCTAGGTTAATTATAAAAATGATAGTCCCCTGTAAACTTTTCTAAAGCTATACTGTCTGAAATTGACAGAACATCAGCTAATAAGGAAGCTTAGATATTGTTACCCACAACTGGCTGATTGAGAAATGGCAATACGTGGGGATTCGGGGACTTGTTTTAAGTTACACAGTCAACTCTAGAACCAAGCCAAGAACACAGGTGCCTAAATGCAGGACAGCATCCTTTCCCTTTGGCTATGTTGCCTCAGAAAACCAAAGAAGT